CCCCAAAACCCCAAAACCCCAAAACCCCATAAAATTAAATGGCTTGTGAAATTTATGAAATCAAGATATTAAAAATCAGAAAAAACAAACCCGTATGCTCTAAAAAATTCAGGCATAAAATACCCAAACGAATGTTATTGCTTCAATTGAGTGACTTCCCTGTTTGCCTTGAATAGCGGCTAAGTATGCACCTTGAACTGGAGCAGCAATCTCATAGTAATTGCCACCTCTCCCACCATAATCATGGCGATCACCATTGTCAGTAAAGAATGTCAATCCATCGACAGCTTATCCTGCGTGAACTCCTACTTTGATAATCTTTCTGTCCATTCCAAGATTAATTGTATTTGGACCTCCAGAGATACCTCCATGAAGAGGGCCATCAATTGTTCCATAGGTGAATTAGACAGCATCAATTCTTGAACCACCTCTCACCAAAATCTTAGATGGAGATCCATTAGTCTTAAAAAGGTTAAGATCATCAAAGTCCTTTTCTCCAGAAGACATACCTTGTCCAAATGGTCCTGAGTAGACGAATTGCTATTTCTTTTGTGGCTCATATGGCATAGGATATAAGGTCGAGTCAAAGTACTACCATTTTTATGAAGGCAGCACTATCTAATCAAGTTCAGCTCTGAAAGCATTCAGGACCTTGTCTTTTTCAGCTTCGTAGGCCTCTCTTGCTCTGCTCTCTGATACAGGAAAATCTCCAGAGTCACTTCCCAAAGATGTTTTAGTTCCAGTTTTGTCATCAATAAAGAAGAACTCGATATCGTGTAAAATGACAGTATGATCTGTTTTTTAAAATCTAATGAAGCCTGCTCTCCAGTTAACTGCAGTATCATACATAGTTTAACCTGCAGTTACATACCCAGATATTTTATTCTTGAGATCAGCTATGTGCTATTGTTGATCAATGTCATCTTGACCATAGATATTTCTGAAGTTAGCTAACTACTCTCTGTGGACAGTCATTGTTATAGTTCCCATTTGTGTGAAATATGGCATGGTCTTTTCCGGATTTCTGTTATCAAAGAAAAAAGGTTCACTTTCTGCAATATAGCTAAGCAAGTTTGTCATATATTGCCCTTTTTGTGGTGAGCCAAATGAGGTCTATTGATAGAGTTAGAGATCATTCTTCAAACCTTGAAGTCTCTTCTCAAGTTCATTGGCATATTCATCGCTTATTAGATCTTTGCACAGTGATTCAACTCTATCCTTGATATTTTTCCAAATGGCATCGTAATCTGGTTAAGCTGGAGGGAAGAACATATCCATTAATGAGTCAACAGCTTTTGAAGAAATAGAGTCAAGAACTTTGTCAATTGCAGCATCAAGAACAAGAGCTACTTACTATAACTCATGTGGATGATCTGATTTAATTTGTAGTTACTTGGAATCTTCAATCACAAATGACAAATTTTAAGGAGCTGTACTTTAGTAAGAGCTTATTAAAACCACCGAAAAGAGAGCGCAAACTAGCATTATTTACTTGTAGTTTTTATTGACCTTTGAATTTTTATTCTGTTCTATGTATAGATCATTCATTGGAAGTGATAAATACGACTAATCTCTCTGATTCGTCATAATGCTTTTCAATAAAAATATATTATTGTATACACCTTCTGGATCCATTTAATAAATCTAACTTCTGCTATTAAAACTTATCTAAGTGCGGGGTTTTGGGGTTTTGGGGTTTTGGGG